TACTGTTGTGTGCAATAGATTCTGTTTTTGCATTGAGTTGTGTTACAGTAGTGTACGTACATGCAGGATTTTCTATGGATTTATACTCTTCATATGAAACTCACAAATCTAAATGCCTAATCCCCCACAGAGATCTACGACGATTCGTTACTGTACAGTTTATAAAAATATGCACTGGCAGTTATGAAAAGAACCTTCTCACAAATTGAGCATTATGTTTTCAATTCTTTTGCTGTAGTGTGTAATGATGTGTATAGTGTTTACATTTTGTTGTGTTTATGTAGCTTTAGAAAAGGGTGTTGTATTTAGACATTGGGGAACATGGTGGAAACGTTTGTGAAATGTGTTTTAGCATTTGAGAAAAACTGTAAGGTATTTGTTTTGGATTTGCGAAGTTAATATTTACGGTTTGGTTCAGTTTCAAGACACGCAACACAAAAACCAGATGAAAAGATTATTATGATGAATGAGAAGGAAATACTGAATCATCAGGTAGCTAAAATATGATTCCTACTGAATTATAATGTTGCCTCATGTAAGCTGTAAGGCTTTTTCTCCCCCATTTTCTGAGGCTTACAGGGTTCCAATACATCAGCTATGTGTAGTTGGATGTTTTATTACACTGGTTATGTCCCAAAATGACACTGTACTTCACAGTGACTGAGCTACAATGGGGATAATAGTCATGTTACTTTCCCCAAAGGCGATTCTGGGAGTCAGCACCCACACAGCGGCCTGTTAGCTTGGGACAGACCTGCCGACTGATGGGCTCTGTTGAGGCCGGTGACTTTTTGCAGACGTCAGTGTCGCGGCACTGCCACACACTGGCTGTAATTGTGATGGGAGGTTCGGGGCGGCTGAATCAGCAGGCAGGAGATGTATATTATGCACCCGAGAATGTGAGAAGAACGCACACAAATGTACAGAAGCACACCCTCTGTCTCGGCTGTCAGAGAAGCAGCCGCCCACACACCAGGATAAATGGCTGAGGGAAGCTTCGCTGCTTTGCACCGCATCGTATCTTTTACAGCATTTCCAGTATTTCATCACCGTCTCATCATCTTATCACTCAATCTTCATGTCTTTCTCTGCATCTCTTTTCCCTCCACCTTTAGTTAAATTCTCTCGGTATAAACCTTACAAGATTTTCCTTTCATGTTTTCTCTTCCACTCAAATCAGTTGAGTTCAGTGAAGCATGAAGTAATAGGTTTCAGAAATTACCTCCTTTTTTTTTTTT